GGGGGGGGGGTGATTATAACAGAAGAGTGTGGCTACTGTCATTAGGTTTACTTGGACAGAACTGACAAATATTTATGGAAGGAAATGAAACTTGAGGGCACTGATTGATACAATGTGATTCAATAGTAATCCTTGTCTGTCTATTGTAATGTGATCATGTTATTTTATTCAACCCTTTAATCCCTAACATCAGTAGGTATGTTCTCCGTACTGTTTTCTTGAATTCCCTTCCAGCACCAGGTGCTCCAAGTGATGTCAAACTGGAAGAGAAATCAGCCACGTCCTTGTTAGTGACTTGGAAATCACCTGAGTATCCAAATGGAATTATTCAGGGATACAGGATAATCTACTCTGACAACACAGGGAGAAACGTCAGCACAGCAGATATCACAAAAGGGCTGACCAATAAAACATTGTTTTATCTATTAACTGGTCTCAAGGAGAATGCCGAGTACAAAGTTTATGTAAGTACAATTGTAACAGTTTTAATGAACTACTGTAGTTAATTCCATGCAAAACTAAAATTGTGAATCATGTGTGATTCTTGAAATCTCACTTTTTCACCCTTTTTTCACACTGGTCAAAGTGTGATCAGTTTTGGGCTTCAGTCACACAGTGCGACTGAAATCACTAGTTGAGTTTTCAGTATGTACTTTGTCCAAGTTGTAGAGCATCTGCAGTATCAATGTTGATTGGGAGTGTTCACAATTCCTGTATTTTTCTTTGTTTGTTTTTTTTTGTTGCTGGGGTGTGTATATGTCTGTGTCAGAAATTAACTAACATTAAAGGAAGGTTTTTTTCAGTCTTTTGGTGGACTGGGGGTGGGGGGAGCTAAGAATGGGTCAAGAATGACTGACCCCTTAAACTCTTTTCACTCTAACATCAGTATGCATATTCTCCATACTCTTCTCTACATGTGTTCTGTACATTCCTAGCAATCAAGAGCTTCTTTAGATGGTGACCGTTTGTTTTATTCTAGTAACCTGAAAAATTGATTCAAGGGATTGTAGTTTATAGAGAGAAATTAGATGCCAATCACTCTTAGAGGTCAAGTGTTATATCTACCTAATGACTGAGATGAGAGACGAAATTCACAAAATATCTAATATCCTTGTTAATCAACTGTTATTAATGATGCTTCTGATGTGCTCTTCCCCCAACAGGTTCAAGCTTTTACTAGTTATCCAGGGAAGGTCAGCTCTCCAGTCATTTACAACAAAACACCAGGTTAGGCTAGAGATATATACTCTATCATGTCTTAAACTATAAACAGAACCCTGTGCAAATAGCTACATGTACCTTTAAAAATATAATGTTAAACCATTGTTTGATGATCAATATTGTGAGTTTTGTAACTGATTTGATCATTGTACTTTGCTGCTTCAGTAGATGTGGCAGAACGTACTGGAGTGGACACTGGATCTCTGTATGGTGGAGTATTTGCTGGGATAATAATTTTGGCTTTTGCGATCATCATTATTGCTTTAATTATAAGGTAGGATGTCCAGTTTAAACTCCCATTTAATTGTAGAAAAGACAAGTATTTAGATGTGGCTAGGGGCAGAGATTCAATTGGGTAATAGTCCATTTTACAGTTGCGTGCTTAGTTGCCAAGCCCTTGAACAGGAGTGAGGT